TGGAACAGCATCCCCTCAAGTCCACTCAGCCCCAGCCCTGCTGCATTTTAAGAAAGCCACGAGGACCTGTTTCCTGGATGGTGAGCCTGCTTTTGAGACTGACCAATGTTTTTTGGTGCTTATCGTTCGCCATTATTCTTTCTGATCCTTCCCCCCCCCCCCGCTTTTGTTCTTAAGCCATGCCTATTATACTCCGGTACATCGCCTAGCATTGCTGTGGCAAATGAGGCAGCTGAGAAATTGATTAAGGAATCAGCCGTAACTCACCAGGTCCAGCCCTCTGGAGAGGTCCTTTGCCCAGCCGCGCCCGGCATTCTGCTACCTGCACCTCCAGCTCTCGCAGGCGCTGGGCAGCATCTGCCTGGACCTGCCGCCGGCGACGACGCTGCTCAGCTGTTAAGTCGGGGGCAACCGCTAGCCGTCGGGCAGCCTCAGCCACTTGCTGCTGCAGTGACAGCTCGTGGGTCAGCTCCTCCAGTGAAGGGGCTTCCTAAAAGATGGACGAATGGACATCAGGGCCGTCCCCAAAGCCCACAGGCCTCCTCCAACGGAGATACGTGTGCTGTCTCATTCTCTCACGCGCAAGGCTGATTGCTCACCTCATTCTTCAAGGCAGGGGCAATTCGGGAGGCCACCGTCGTTCTCCTCCGCACTGGCCACAGCCTTTCTCCAGGTTCCAGGGGATATTCCGGTGGCAATTTTCCTGTCAGTTCCTGGCATTGAGAGGAGAAGCAAGCAGCATGAAACAGGTACGAGATCCAGAGCTTAAACGAGGGTGTGTCAATCTCATTGGAACTTGACATTAAATTTTGCCCAAGGAGACAAACTTCACACTATTTATATGAAACTCTTCAACTCTGCAGAACATAGCTCGGCCCAAGAGAAGCCACTTTGGGCTCAGTGGAAGCCATGGGCTAATATACATTTGCCTTCCTGAACCTGATGTCCTTAAGCCATGTGGAACCATTCTTAACATCCAGCCAGCCTGGCCAATGAGGATGACGTGAGTTGTACTCCAACACACTTGGAGAGCAGAAAGCAGGAGAAGACTATTCTACATGAGTTGGCCTGATTTACACCTTTCTGAAATACAGTATCTCCCTAGGTTATTTCTTCTTGAAGAAACTCAGCCAGCTTTTTTCCTGCTTGTGTTTCAGCAGAAGATTGGGTTCCAAGCCTTCCATAGCTTAAGCTTTCAGCTGCCCATTCCTTGTTACTTTCTGGGAGCATTTGCTCACAATTTATCTGATTAAAACTAAAACCCTCAAGGGTTTGAGCCCCGACAAAGACCAGACAACTTTTGAAATTCAGGGTTGGCTGTGCACGTCAGCCTTACCCCACCTGTTTTCCAGATGTCCTGGACTACAAATCCTGTTTAGCCAGTGATCAGTGACAGGGATGGGAATGGTGGTCTAACAAATATGGTGGTCCCCAGGTTGGGAAAGGCTAGCTTCTCAAAGCAGCAGACCCACTGCCTCAGTCCCTCCAAGTGGCTTCTCATCCTCCTCCTGCAATGATTACGCACCGCTTCCTGCAGGCAAACCCGACGCAGCTCCTTCAGGCGCAGGCTGAGCACCTGCTGGAGGGACTTCTGCTTTTCCAGGAGTTCTTGCACCCGCTCTAGCCGAATTCGGGGACAGAGCTCTCGCTGCAAAGCTTCTGCAGAAGTGAAGGCAGAGCACAGAACAAAGGATGAGGGGGGGCTTGAGATCCACTCGAGGTCACAGGACGGCCATCAGGGAGGAATGGTGCTGAACAGGTGGTGGGAGGAAGGGAGTTACCTGAAGAGCTGTAGCTGGATGAGTTTATCAGCTGCCCCTTCACCTCCATGTCTGGGAAACTTTGCCTTGTCTCTTGCCTCCAAGGGGAATCACTTGGCTCTGAGACCCATGGAGAATTCCTAGATGGAGGATTGCAGCCGGTCACTGTCAAAAGGAGAAAAAGGAAGAGTAAGAAAGGGGCCTGCTTCTGCCGGTCCAGGCAAGGTGAGTCATCAGCGGAGAGCATGATGCTGCAAAAAAAGAAAGTCTGCCAGACTTTGGCAGCGGGCATGCAGATAGGCAGGGACTGAAGAGGCATTTTGTGCCCATAAGAGCTCGCTTCCCAAGGAGGAAGCAGCAGAGATTACAGATAAAACAAGCGGGCCACGGAAGATCCCTGCTTCTCTGGAGAGGTTTTCTTAAGAGTACCTGATACCATCCAGACATGTTGGACTTCACCTCTCATAGCCAACACAGAAGACTGGAGAGCGCAAGGTTAGGGAAGAGTCTCTAGCCTAAGACGACTTGCAGTTTCCATTGTTTCACCCAGGAGCACAAAGTGCCGGGTGAATGGTGGAAAACTGCAACACCAAACCTGCGTTCTGTTGCCTCAGGGCCTATTTGTTCTCCAAGCCATAGTGTCAATGGTAGAATCGTAACATTCTCTTTAATTTGGGCTAACACTCCCCTCAACAACAAAATCTGTCAAACTGAGATTTCTGTTAGTGGTGGTGTTCAACTACCACAACAAGTCACCCAAAACTCTTGCACTCAAGAGCCTGGAGAAGGACACAATCACTGACATGCGGCCTTTGTGGGGTGTGTGAGGGGGCAGCTGCCTGCAGGAGAACATTCTGTAGAAGCTTTAACCAACCTAGGAATTCTGGGAGTTGTAGGCCTCAGGCATCCGGAGAATGTTCGTTTATTACTAAATAAGAAAGGCTGCACTGTAGGCAGCATTTTAACTAACTTTAATTGGCACTGGTGTTATGCCTATAATTGTAGAGGGAGGAAGGGATGCATCTTGTCCCAACTTGGGTCCTTCCAGAGATATTGATCCTGTTCCCAACAGTTCCACACAACCAACAAGCATGATGGGGCTGTACAAAATAATGCGCCACATGTTAAACACAGTGAGTCATCCCAGAAATCATACGTGCAGGGAGCAATGAGTTGTTCCTCTTAGATTTGGGGTGTTGTGAAAAGTTTAAATGGCCATGAATGCTTTTTCCTGCCAAGGAGAAGAGCACAAGAGGTGTCCTACCTCAGATGCCAGCATAATAAAACTGGTCTTGCATCTTAGCAGCAGGGGGCCAGGAGCAAAGGAAAAAAAGGTGTCCACTGTTGCTCCCTCTCTCTTACTTGCCCCAACCCTCCAGCACCTAGAACTCACAGACCCAGGGCCTCTTGAATAAGAGGTTCCACGCAGCAGCTACACATTATCCACGTTTTAATTCCCTTCCCCTCGGCCAGGGACGCTTTCAAATGCACAACGCACCAGTCTCAAGCCCTCCCAGGGCAGTGCTCTCAATTTAAATAGGCATTTGCACGCATTATATTCTTTGATATTATTACGTTGATGAGTTTCCTTGATGGGGACAGCCCTGGTAATTGCAGGGGAAGAGAGACCTAAAGAGAGATTTTGCATGGCCAGTCGGGGAGGCACTCTTGTCCTGTCTTCCCAGCCGAGGGCAGCCCCCAACAGGAAGAAAAGGCAAGTGAGCCTCTTTGCCACCAACTCAACCCACAAACAAGCATGATGGGAAGTCTGGGGGCAGTGAGACAGCTGGTCCCCTGCCTTACACAGGGATAAAGGCTGCAGCTGCTTTTCCATGAGACCCGATTGAGGCCAAGCCAGCTGGGAGTCCAGGGCAAGAGCAGGGCCAGGAAACCACCCAAGTTACATAACTAATTCCAGTCACCGCTGAGGCCAAGCACAGCTCTTGGTGTGAAGCACACCAAGAACGACATCCAAGTCAGGTAGAACTGTTGTGGGAAGTGTCCATCCAGCACAGCCCGGCCCTACCATTGCCATCTCTTTCTTTATTATATGTTTTTAAATAGATAATAGATAATTCAAATATGAGTACAAATTTAAAAGAAGATAAAGGATAGTTAATACAGATAAAGAACAAGTATAAGCAGTGAAATATGGGTGGATAGCCAACAAATCTGAAATATATTCTAATACATTATTATAGCTTATGATACTACAAGCCATTTCATATCCATTGTCCAAGTAAAACATCCCTATTAAACTTTAAACTAAAGGTACTTGCTCAACACTATTCAAATCATTACAGAAAAAGGAGAGAGAGAAACTGTAGGTGATCAACAATACATCAAGCCCGTTGATGAGTTTCCTTGATGGGGACAGCCCTGGTAATTGCAGGGGAAGAGAGACCTAAAGAGAGCTTTTGCATGGCCAAGTAGCCCTCAGCAACTGGGACTGGAATTGCCATTGCTAAATGACAGTTGTAAAGCATGATGTCACGTGACCTCATTGCTTACAGACAGCAATTCCGGCAGCCCTGGTTGCCCTCATTAAGTGAGGACCATGTGGGTTGTTAAGCAAGGATCTCATGTGATCGCAACTTCCTGCCCATTTCCCCATTGACTTTGCTTGTGGAAAGATGGCAGGGAACACTGGAAATCGCGATCATGTGACCACAGCTTGCTGCAACGTTGTAATTGCAGGGACGCTGCAATGGCCGGAACTACAAGGACCCATCATAAGTACCATTTGTTCAGCGCCATCATAACTTTGAACAGTCGCTGGATGAATGGCCGTAGCTCTCCCCGAGCCTCACTGCACCTCCCTCACACACCTTCCCTGAGCCTCTCCGTGCCTCCCTCACACCCTCCCTGAGCCTCGCTGCACCTCCCTTGCACCCTCACACACCCCCTTGCACCATATCCGACCCTTGCTGTGCCTCCCTCACACCCTCGCGCATCCGCTTGCACCCTCCCCGAGCCTTGCCATGCCTCCCTTGCACCCATCCCTCGCGTTCTCCCCCACCTGGCAGCAGCCACTTACCTGCCTGCTGGCCTGCTTGCAAGCCACCTGGGACTTGCAACTTCCTGCTGGCTTCTCCACTAACATTGGCTGTAGGAAGCTGGAGGGAAGTTGCCTCGACTAACGACCATGGGATTTGATTAACGATGGCGACCTGGACTGCAGGGATTGCCGTCACTAAGCAGTGCAGTTGTGCTTTAGGTCATAAGTCATGCCATCATAAGTCAAGGACTACCTGTAGAACATGCCATCTTTCAGGCCAAGATTTTGCCCTTATATCTGAAGCATTAAAGTTCCAGCATTCTCCACCCTACCAAGTTGCCCAAGTGTGCTCAGCCACAACTCCCATCACCCACTGCAAGCACAACCCACAATTGCTATGGAGGGTGGGAGCTGTAATCCAGCACTCCTTGTGATGCCAGGCTAGAAAAGGCTTAAAAACAAGGTGTAGCAAATACAAATCCAGCCAGCCATAAACCTCCCTCTCTGTTGCAGACACACATAAGCATACCTTTGCTATTTCTACATGTTAGTGAACAGATCATCCTACTGTGCCTCCACAAAACTATATGGGACAGAAAGGGAAGGGGGAAACAGCCTTGCCACTTGCTTTTTTCTTCCTTCCAAGGCCCTTGAGATTAGCACAGTCCATTCCTTTTCCATGACTGTTTAGTGTCAACACCTTCCTCCTTACCCCTCCCAGTGATTGTTTTCAGGGAGTGGATAAGGAAGGTAGCTACTGGGAGCCAGGACAGAAGTTAGTGCTGCTCTATTAAATAACGCTCCACTTCTATTAAGAAAGAAATAAACAGAAGTAGAAGCTGAGCCAAGAAAAATCAAACAGCACAGACATCTGCCTGCCATGAACAGGAGCTTGGGCTACTCTTTTTACCACCATGCTAGCTCAGGATGATGGGAGCTGAACACATCTGGAGGGCAAGCACGCAAGACAATTAGAAAGCATTCACCATGCCTGGCCCAGCACTTATCGTGTCTTCCCATCCTTCAGAGGACCCTTGACAAGCTTTATTTTAAGGACTCTGACCTCGCAAGTAGGATTCTTAAGAGCTGATAAGCTGAAAGATCAGATCCCACGGCTGAGTTCATATATTGCTCTAAACTACAGCTTAACTTTGGCTTAACAAACCATGACTGCCTGGGTTTACACAATCCCCTAATCCCAAACCAAGTAAACTATATTGTGGCTTAATGTGATGCCTGAATCCAGCTTCTGTTTACATGATCTAGGCGTGTGGAATTTAATCAGCCAGACATGGGTTATCACTCCCATGTTATCATCCCCCCTTTCCAATTAATTCCTATTTAGCATCCCATGAAGTATTGCTCTTCTCCCCATTGTGCATACAGAGTGGGGGTGGGGAGAACTAAGATAAGCACTGTGGAATCTGAATACAGGCCTGCATTAAGCCATAGTTTACTTATCTGTACTCTGCATTAAACCAGTTTACTGAATTAAACGCAGTCTGCTGAATAAGCTAGAGTCAGCTGGGTTCTCACAGCCCCTGAAGGCAAAAGCAACAAAGGACAGTGTGTGATGTGAGACCCAGCCAAAGAGAAGGAATTTCCTGCATGACAACTACAACACTGGCGTAGAGTTCAGTAGGTGGAGTACTTCCCCGGAAACCCTTACAACACCTGGTCACGTCATCTTGGCTGGCAGCCTGCGGCGAAGGTTCACCTAATCCCCAGACAAGAGTCAAGCAGAGCAGGCAGGAACATATCCTCTTAGAGTCAGCAAGATAGCATTTCCTCAACCCCTCCACCCACCCTCTGTTCTGCCTCCGCAACCATTAATTTCCAGCTCAGAGTGCTAGACACAATTCACAGAAGCCCTCATTTCCCCTCAGGCCTTCATTTGAGCCCCAGAGCCTATTTTCAAGACTTCAGCTCCTCCCTGAATGTGAAAAGTGAAATGTGAAACAGTCCTTTGGTGACTTACAGAAATCATGCACTCTTTACTGCCATCCAGTGGTCGCTGTCCAGATTGCATCCAATTGTGGAGGCATCACCTATGCCCCGGGAGTCAGATTCTATGCATTACACGCAGAAGGGAACTGAAAAGGTAAGGAGGGAGAGAGATCCAAGCAGGTTTAGGCCCCAGCATTACTTACACTAGAAATTAAGCTCTCTGGGATTGACCCTCTTGAAGGCCGAAGATCAATTATAGGCATCCCAATTCTCTGAGTAGCTCAAAAGAACTCTTTCGACCTTGATTTGTAGCAAATGCTACAGAGCTAAAGTTTCCAAAGATATTCTGAGTACCTTCCCATCAGGAGCCTGGTAACCTCTTGATTTATGATGTTCTCATCCTTGCTTTTCCTGCAAGGAACTCAGAAATTCTTCCTCACTGCACTTATTTTCATCTCAACCCTGCAAGGTTGGGGAGCCCAAGAGATTACACCCAGCCAAAGATGACCCTGTGTAGTTAATGACCAAGGGGAATTGCAACCCACTTTTCCTTTGCCTGCTGCATCACTTCATACCGATTTTCATACTGCACAAAGAACAAATCACAGGCTTCCTGTCATGAACTTTGCCAGCCCAGTGCAGTTTGATAAATCTGTAGTTTATGCTCCTTTTTAGCAACAAATTTGGTTGGTACGTTCACATAACCCACTTAACTCAGGTGAAAAACACAAAGGCTGCATAGATAAATGTGTTTAGTTTGGTGGCTTGCTTGGATTTTTGTGGGTGCATGTCATTTAGTGGGTTGGGTAAGCCCAGAGTGCTGAGTTCAATGTATTGTGTACACAGCCCCTGAGTTAAACATGCTATTGACTCTGTCTGGAAGAATGGACTCTTCCTTGTCTTCAGTTCCCCCCCCCCCCCCCCCCCTTTTTCTTCTTTTTTTTTTTTTTTGTGGAAAAATCGCCTCTTCTTTTTTTTTATTCCCCCCCCCCCCCCCTTTTTCTTCTTTTTTTTTTTTTTTGTGGAAAAATCGCCTCTTCTTTTTTTTTATTCCCCCCCCCCCCCCCTTTTTCTTCTTTTTTTTTTTTTTTGTGGAAAAATCGCCTCTTCTTTTTTTTTATTCCCCCCCCCCCCCCCGCTAAAATAGGAAGGCTTGAATCTTGTTTCAGGCAACTCTGGGAGAATTAGGGAGGGAGAGAGATGCACAACAGAATGCATTTCTCACATCTGTAGTTATATCCAGCATGTACTAAGTGTGGATTCACATATTGCACTAAATCATAACAGGATTTGATTGATTTTGACAGTGTATTGGGTGAATCCAACTATCGTGATCTGCAAATCAGGGTTTCATTGCTTAACATGTTCTATGAACCCAGGTAATTTTGATGTATACAACAATCCACTACTAAACTATATTTAGCCTGAGATGTGATTCCAACCATAATGTTTCTGCATGATCAGCATAATTGTGGCTTCACCAGGGGAGTCTTATCAGCTCCAGTTAACTTGACCAATGGCCAGGAGCAACTGGAGTTGAAGTATAGTAACATTTGGAGTTTCCATCTTTGCTTGTTAAGTAGGCCTAATTACACTACAGATGAGGTAAAGGGGCAAAAGCTGAGAAGGAAAGATTTGCCTAAACACGATTAGATTCAAACTGGGGACTCTGATTCATAGTTTAATGTCTGGCAAAGTACACTTTATATAAAATGAACATATAAAATTAATCTACAGCAATCTGGCATTTGAGTCTACTTCTAGTTGGCTTTAGCTAAGAACAAATAAACTTTAATACGTATATGTGAATATCTCCTCTGCCATAAAAGAGGCTGAAATACTGGCCCCTTTCCCCAATTTTCCTGCAAGATTCTCTAGGGTTGGGCCAAATCACAACTAAGGCAAAGCATACAGGACTCCCCCCACCCCTGTTCGAGATGACAACTTTTGAAGTAAATCAAATGCAATTTTCCTTTCCAGTGAATCTCTTCACCCCACCCCACCCCACTGCACCAACCAGGGCATAAATATGACCCCCTTTCTACTGCCTTCCTGTGACCTTGCCTTCCTTGCGTCCCAGCCCTGGAAAGGCTCAAGCCGTTGTTAGCTGTATCGGTTTTAAAGCAGTATTTCCCACTGATTGTAACACCGCCCAAGGGCAGCCTCAAGGTGCATAACTTCTCTAGGGTTTGGTCACCCACAACCCTCATAGGAGGGTCAGGTGACCGCCGAGACTTGAAACAGAGCCGATAGCCATCAGCACGGGGGACGGCAAGCTTCACGCGGCATGCGGGCTCAGGGACGGACGGGCGGCCCGCGAACTCGGAGAACTTCATTTCATCTTCAGCAGCCTCGGGCGAGAACATCCCCCCCGTCTTCAAAAGTTTGCAAGTGCGCCCACTTAATAATGATAATGATAATAGTAATACTGGCCTTCCGGGAACGGGAGGAGGGAGCGACTCCGGACCAAAGCCTCCCGAGCGCG